TACATTACACAAACAATAAGCATTTCAAAACTATAAGTAAACTACTACAGCCCACTTGAATGTTAAAACCTTATAATCTGCAAAATTACATCTGTCCAATTAGGGCTGAATGGAAGAAATAGCAAAAAACTCCCAAGTTTAATTGCTTCCTTCAACATTGCACTTTCAAGCTTTTGTTAATAAAAAATCTATTTAATTATAGAATTTGTACTATTTTTTTTTTCTTATCATGGTTTATGAACCAGCAATGACAATTTGAATTTGTTTTCAACATTGCAAAATTTGATTCCCAAATTTCATTTCACCCAATCATTAGAATTCTATTAGTACAACTTAATCCGACTGGAAGTAATTTGCCCCTGATGATGATGGTGATGTTGATGGTCTGGAACTACAATCTGCATTACATAAAAAGTTGAATTTTTTAGTGTTTTTTTATTTTTGGACAAATTTGCCCCTGATGTTGGGAGGCAGGGAGTATTGAAGATAGTGTTGGATCTTGCTACATGGGTTATGCAACTTGTAAATCTACATGGAAGAAATAGTAACTTACATCATTTCATTCTGTTATGCCCCAACCACATGCCATACACACACAAACCAGCTATATGCTATTAGGTGGAAGGTAAAAGCAAAAAAAATGAAATTAGGGATAAAGGGGTTGCATACATATGAAAATAATTGTAATAAGTTAAGCATAAAGAATTTGCAAACATGTAAATGGAAAGAGATTTTGAAGGGGTCACAACGGTTGATCCCACCGATGGTGAAGTCGAATTTTTAGATGTCATGATTGAGAACTATATACACCAGAAATCAAAAAATCACAGCAGAGATCAGAAAATTCACACCAAATATTAGAAATTATAACCAAAAAACAATCACAGAAGGAATTCCAAACACCAACTATCACAGTAAAACCCCCAAGGCAACCAATTGTTACCCAACTAACTTGCTGAAAATATGAAAATCATAATAAAACAAAAAATCCCATAATTAATTCAAAATTTCTAAGCAAAAACGTTAAAAATAGCATTGCTATCGCTTTAAAATAGATTAAACATCTAACGTTCTTTATCCGACATAAGCCAATAGAGCATGAATTTGAGTCGTATTGACATGAAAAGGGTTAATGTTGCTACCTTTTTGCAGTTACCATCTAGTGTTTTAATGGATTTTAGTATTACGATCCCTCAACACATGATTATGTTTGTTTGATCTTGAATGGGGGTTGTGCCTGAATAACTCGGTACACCTGAAAATATTGATTTCCATGATTACATTATTAAGCATTCAAATCTGTAACACATAAAAGAAGCAAATAGAAGAAACAAAAATAGCAAAAATATTCATATTGGTTTTCCTCAGCTAGCACTTTGGCATAGTCCCATCTAAAAGTGCTCCCAACTAAACTTATTACTAAAATACCTACAATATATACATACAAAAGGGGATTGTAAAAGAAAAAAACTTTTCCACCATAAAGTCACTCATACGGTCCTGTTTTGCATTCTCCACTTCAAACAATTCCTACATTGGGACAAAAAACAAATCATATTTCTATAATATGTTTGTAAAAGAAGATAAAACAAAAATTAGGATATACATAAACATAGTTACACACACACAAATAAACACACCTGCACACAAAAATACACATACATACATACTTGCACACATAGATACACATCAACCTACAAAAATCAAAACAAAACTCCAAATTAAAGCAACTAAATTAAAATATCATCAGTAAAACATAGATGTGATTAATAGAGAAGAAGAAGTAACATAGGCAGATTTCTGGTCCTTCCCTTCATAGGCATCCTTCACCATGATCTGCTCTCTCCACTTATTCTCCTGATCGAAAATCAAACAATACAAATCAATAACTTTTCTGATTAAAGAATCTATACATGTCAATTTTTAACCTTTTTTCTCTATGGAGTTGGACATGTGCTAGAGATTTGATGTATCTGAAGAAAATCTGATGAATTGTCCGGTGGTGGTGAGTGGTTCAGTGGGTGGCGGTGAAGGTGAAAGTAACAACGACATTAAGCAGGGTGGGGCTAGGGTTTTCAGTAGGAATTCTAGATAGTTAAACAAAGAGATCGATGATGGAGAATTGAGAAGTGGTACTGGGGATTTTGAGAACATAGTGCTTCTATGGTGGCGGTGAAGGAGAAGATGGTCATTGAAGGCGTCATGGTGAAAACTGCAGATGGTAGTGGCAGTCGAAGCAACAACAACGACGAACAAAGCAGAAGGTGGTCAGTGGACTTCTATGGCTTCGATCTGACCTTGAATAGAAACAATCTGCATGTTGAAGGAATTTAAGGAGACGGGGCCGAGATAATTGGGATTCAAGTTTGAATCTGGTATGAATAGGTAAGTACGATTGAATACTCTTAATCCTTATCCTCAACATGGAACTTAGTCAGTAAACCATGGGGATTATTATTTTGACTTTTTCAAATATTAAACAAACAAATATCTATGATGTGGCAATGTATAAAATGATTGTAAAAAATGTAATAAGGCTGGTACGACTTGAAATTCAGCATTTGACTAAAAATGCTTTATAATATATATATATATATATATATATATATTATATATATATATATATATATCTATATATATATATTATATATATATATATCTATATACTCCTTATTATGCAAATTTGGTCAAAGGCTTAATTTTAAGAGGTACAAACCTTTACTAAAACATTTACAATCCGTTTATGCATGCAGAATAAGTAAATCTTATTCGGTCAATTATTGAAAAATTCAAATAAGATGATAAGATTGTGAATGGGTCAAAGTTTGACCAAGTACTCCACATATCCAATTGAATCGGTCTAACATCCTATACACGTTATAAAAGCATTTCCACTATATCACTCATCCCACTCTCAACCATCGGTCTTTATGAAACCCTAGAATACGCTCCCTCGAAACTCAATTTCTACTAGCACCATTCACCGCCAATGTTACAAACTATCTGCATCCGTCGCTTTGCGCGGGTAAACGGCTAGTGTGTGTGTATATATATATATATATATATATAATATATATATATATATATATATATATATATGAGGTTCAATAGAGAACCATAATTAACCTAGGAACCAATGAACCAATCTTTTTTTTCAACTTTTAGAACTTATTTTTTATCAAAAAAAAAAAAAAAACTAAAAATACAGAAATTCATAACTTTTTATCCTTTTTCCAATGATATCAAATTCGATTTTTTTTTATTTTTTATTTTTACGTCAAATTCACAATGTGAATTTTTGAAAATTCACAATGTGAATCCGGATTCACACGGTGAATCCGAAAAATATTTTTCACATTCACAATGTTAATATATGAATTTAGATATTTTTAGATTTTTTTTTCGATAAAGAATAAGCTATAGAAATTGAAAAAAGGATTTGGTTCATTGAAGAACCAATAATTATGGTTCTCTATTGAATTTTTCCATATATATATATATATATATTATATAATATATATATATATATATATATATATAGATATCTATATTATTGTTATAAAACTAAGAACACGATTTTGATTGTTTTTTAATTAAACTATGAATCTTATTTACTGTTCTCCCGTTGGTCTTATAAACAAGATAAAAACTAATATGAAGTACAATTGCCCATCTCACCATATTCCCAAAAGTGAAATCGATAATCGCAATTTGTACATTGGAGATAAAGTTTTCATGAAGGATGTTAATGCTTATTCATCTTTATAGCTTACAAGAAAAAAATGAAAGCTTGCCCGTTTGCAAGAATGTTGCAACTAAGATCAAGATTTTGTTGGACCAGTTGAAGAACAAGAAGCATCAAAGTAGAAAGAAGGGTTGCTTAGTCTTGCGTCTTGCGTGTTTGGAGTTTCCAAACCTGTGATTTTTTCTCTTCAATCTCTAGAAATTAAAGTTGATGGTATAATAATAAATATACAATATTTTATGTGGATGGAAAAAAACATTTCGTGGATATATCATCTCCCTTATATAAATAGGTGGGTAAAAATTGGTACTATCCCTACATAAGAACCTAATCAATTAATTTAATCATGTTTCCTAAATATAAACTATTTTTTCCTTGTACTATAGATTTAAAAATGCAAAAAAATAATTGGGGCTATGAAATCTCATTAAATCAATGTTTTTATAATTCATAAACAAGCTTAAAAATCGTAAACCAGCTGGAGCCGAACTTAGGCTTGTTTAGGTTTGTTTGCCAAACACGCCGAACTCGAGCATGCCATTTTTCCCATGTGCTGAGCTTGACAGTCTCATATGCGATTTGGCTCGACTTGTTTATACCTCTATTCCTCTATTCGGTCTTTGCGGCTGTACAAAGAAACTATTTTTTAAAGTCCTAAGCTTTTATTCCCACAAAAAGTGATTGTAAAAAAAACAAAAAAACAAATATAAAAACACAATAATCTCACCTTATATTTTCATTGGTGGTAAGTGGGCTTTTATTACCAACCGATTCACATTCTCCGCCTACAAAATGACCTAAAATAACTATTTTTTCTTTGAGAAATTAAATTACCTCCTACCTCTTATGCCTATAATTATTTCTACCCATTAAAATTATGACAAATCACCATTCAATTTTATTTTATTTGATATATTCTTAATATAGGTTTAATAAGTTAGTTAAAAAAATATGAAATGATGACACTTGTCATAAAAACATTTGTAGGCATAATTTAATTTCTTTCTTTCTTAATAAAGGTAATTTTTGCACGACGTGAGATGATTCTACGGTTCCAATAATAAAAAGCCCACGTATTGAAACATTAAAGTAGCCCATTAAATAAGTCGGTTGATTAACGGAGTCTTGTTGTGCAATCCATTGAATCCCTATTAAACCCCATATCAATCCAACTATTTTAAAATCTATTAAACATACGAAAATTACCTAAGTGGGGTTTTGGGTTTCTTTTACTAAACCCACCTCACAGCTGTGCATGGAAGACAACGATATCAGCAATTCAAGCAATCAATTCAACGATGATGGCGATGAGAACCAAATTGTGCAGCAACTTCTACGTACCAATATTTCCAGAAACACAAAAGAATTGTTTTGGTATGATATTCGAAACTTTCCTGATTCATTGCTTATAGAAATTCTTGCTAGATTACCCGTGAAATCTATTTTTAGTTTTAAAAGTGTGTGCAAGCATTGGCAAACCCTAATTTCTCATCCTTCCTTCTGCCGATTTTATTACTCGATTCTCAATTCGTCCTCGCGGCCTTTCAGAATCTTGTTTAGGTACGCTCGGTTACCGAACTTCAAGGAGTTTGTTATTCGTCTTGGTACTGAAATCCACAGTTCGTCCGAATTCTCTGTTCTTTTCCTTTCTACCCCTGAAGAACGGCGTCTATATGATCAGTTTAGTGTTTTATCTATAAGTAATGGTTTTATTCTGTGTTGTTCGTGGTCGCCAACATTTGTTTACTACTTCTGTGATCCACTCACTCGACAATGGATCACTTTACCTAAACGTGGACCCAGGTACCACCGGTGTAAAGGGCTTATTACTAGGGTTAATGAAGATCATATTCTTACTGGTTATACAGTTGTTTGGTTGGAACATTTTGAATCGAATTATCTCTATTTAGAGATGTTTTCATCAGAAACTGGCAAAATGGATCAGCTACAAACTACCTTGCCCTATTCCCATCCAATTGCAGGAACTGGCCGATGGCCCAATCTATTGCTACGGGGCTCTCCATTGGGAAGTTCGTTATAATGGCCTGCTTGCATTTGATCCTTACAAAGATCCAAAATCTGTTCGCCTAATTCCATTCCCAGATGACAGAGATTTCCTGAGTAAGTATTTAGACAGTTCTTCTCAATTATGTGGGGAGAGCCAAGGGACCCTTCGTTATTTCGAGGTGGCTCATGGTCACAAGCAGTTCTATTTGTTCAGCATGTGGTCTATGAAGGATTATGAGAAAGGAGAATGGTGTTGTGAGTTTAAGGTGAGACGTAGTGATCTTCATTCTAACAATCTGGAATTGAGTAATTGGTTGTTGGACGGATGGTTTCTTCCTTTATCGTTTCATCCGTTGAATCCAAATGTTGTGTATTTGTATTGCATGGAGCCTGAGCATATTGTGTCGTATAATATTCTGAATAGAAGGCTGGATTTTGCTTGTAAACCGATTGACCACGGTCAAAGTCTTTGTTCTGTGATCCCATTTGTGTTACCAAGATGGCCGGTGCTTGTTCCAATTGCCACTTTTAAAAGCAAAAAAAAAAGAAGGTAAAGTGCAGAAATTAGCCCTCCCAAAGTGCTGCTTCATATTTTTTTAAATAAATAAACCAATAAGTTTTTTGCTCTTATTGGTTAAGAAGATGTGTATGTTGCTATTATAGGTTAAAAAGATAAGCATGTTGCTATTATTGGTTAATAAGAGACACATGTTGCTATTATTGGTTATAAGATTAGTACATTGCTTTTATTGGTTAAACATATTAGTACGTTTTAATATTGTTTAAAAAGATAAGTACGTTTCTATTATTGCTTAAAAATATAAGTTGCTATTATTGGTTAAAATGTAAGTTGTTATTATTGGTTAAATCAGCTATGATTTTTATTTATTTTTTTATTATTAGCTAAAAAATAAATCCCATATTGTTGGTAAAATGTAAGTGTGTTAGGAGGTGGAAAGAAAGATAGAAACAAAAATGTCTAAAATAATGAGTTGAAAGAATGTGAAGACATTTTTTTATCCTTTGTATTCTAATTTTGGATATAATAAATTTGGTACTAAAGGAGTTGAATAAATTATTAAGAAAGATACACCAAGCTATGAATGGATATAATACTCGTTGATTTTTCTACTAAGTACACATATGATCAATCAACCCCTCGTCAGATCCATCTCTCAAAAACCCAATTCGAATTCAATTGTGATGGATATGCAGCATGTTTATGTAATTTAGTCTAAAATAGCAGTCAAGTGAAAATTATATCAGTAACTCCACATATGAAATACTGGCTTGTTTTTTTACCATTTAACACTTGGATCATTTAGGTTCCTATAGATGGAGTTGAATAAATCATTAAGAAAGATACACCAAGCAATGAATAGATATAATACTCGTTGATTTTACTACTAAGTACACATATGATCAATAATTAATTTTCCTAAAAAATATAATATAAAAAGTACTATTAAGGTTTTTTTTATGTAATATTTTATACAAGTATTTCTAAATTACATATATTTTAATAACCAAAACAAAGCCCTCGTCAGATCCATCTCTCAAAAACCCAATTTGAATTCAATTGTGCACGTTTATGTAATTTAATCTAAAATAGCAGTCAAGTGAAAATTATAACAGTAACTCCACATATGAAATAATGGCTGGTTTTTTTAGCATTTAACACTTGGATCATTTAGGTTGCTATAGATGGAAAAACAAAAGAAAATACTAAAAAATGAGAAATAAAAATGTACAACTAGACATACGGACAAAAGAGAATACCAATTTCTAGATTTCAGGTCAAACATAATCAAAATCGACAAAAGAATTAGGGTGCTAATTGGGTTGGGTTCGGGTTAGCGGGTTACGGGTTGGAACGAATCTACTAAAACCAACCCATATTTGTATTTAAGTCGGCGGGTTTGAAACATCAACCCAAACCAACCCAAACCACATAACTCGTTTAGTTATACAGGTGTCGGTCTCAGGTTCATGGGTCAGTTCGGGTGTGTTCGGGTTACCGGGTCGGTGGAAGATACGCACAACGATAAGGCGACAATAAAAAAAACACCATATGTTTGATGGTGGGTCTGTGGAGCGTCGGTGTACCGATGATGTGTGTTTGTGGTGGGTCGGTGGTGATACATACATTCAGTTCGGTTCCTAAGTGAATGTTAGGGAACCGAACTGAATGTATGAATGAGTAACTCGAATCCTAAGTGATTTATGAAATGTGATTTCATATATATATATATATATATATATATATATATATATATATATATATATATATATATATATATATATATATATATATATATATATATTGGCAGGTTGGTGGGTTGACCCATAAACCCAAACACATAACTCGAACCTATCCCTGAAATAAGCGGGTTGGCGGGTTGCCAATGAGTCTATTAAGCATATAAAAGAAAACATGCAACCATTATGTCTTGAGAAACAAATCATTGATTTTAACCCGATGCATGTCTTGATACTTCATGTTGCTTATTTTGTCACCGAAAATTCACAACTAATACGCAACTTGTGTTTGATGAAACCAAAACTAATTGAAAGCGTGTTGTTGGTGAGAGGGTTAATGCCATAAAAACCATTATTTTTACATCTTTGTTCCGTTTAGCCCCTAACTTCAACATATCTTTCCCAAGCTTCATAAAAAAACTGCAACTTAGAAAAAATCACTCTTCTTTCGAATGACCATATCAAATTCTCCCATATTTATGATTGAAATAATATCATAAAACATTCAAATGGGCCTGAGAATGTTCTCTAACAGGTAAAACAACATCAAACTCCCCTTCAACATGTGGAATACATCAATAAGCTCAAATCTGAAAAAGTAAAAAAGTTTTAAATTTTACCAAACCTTGACTTTTCTGGACAACCTTTGTCTTTGATTTGGAATCTGAAAATGCACTATTCATCTGAAACAATTAAGAAATTATGAATCTGATCTTGAAATCTCTAGCCCAAAAAATAATGTTGAAGCTTCACAAAATGCGTTTCGGATCTGAGAAAAATAGTCACTTCAATCGAAAATGATCTGAAAACTTGTCCCCGTATGATTCGAAGCTTCACTACATCGTGAAAGAACCACCCTTTAGAATCTTGAAAGTTGTGATGTAATATGAATCTTTTTAATGTACTTTGGATATGAAGCAATTGATATGAATAAAGTTTGAAATGTATTTGTTTGATTCGAAGGCATAAGTTCCAAATTCATACGTTTGATACAAAGTCAATTTGAAACTGAAGTAGACTGCAAATCTATTAATGTATTTTGGATCCAAAACAATAGTCAAGTCCGAATTGTGAAATCAAGAAGACATCATTTGATCCAAAGCTAATGAAATACAAAGCACCTAAATAGTGAATAGCCACACATTATTAGATTAGGCGATATTAATTATAAGTGTATAGTTAGAGGGCTAAATGTGTAACATAGAGGCTTATTTATACTCGTGTAATTATCGGTCAGAATACACAATACATACGCAACTCATACCAAATTATTATGGTATCAGTTCCGACTGAACACCTCACAAAACCCTAAAATATGTCGTTGCCCTCTGCTGTCGAATCACAGTTCACGAAGGTACCGTTCACGCGACTACTGTACACGCCCTCTTATGCCTCCTGATCAGTGTCACCTTCTGTTGCCTGTACAATGACTCTCACACTTTTTCTTCTAAAGATATAACAACACACAACTCTCACAAATTCAGCTTTACTCTATCTCCTACCAACTATGGGCACTAGAAAGCCATGATTCAACCTTTTCTCCTCACTAATAGCTTATTGGGCTATATCGATGGCACAATTTATCAACCCACTACCACAATACCATGAACAGAAAAAGATGTTGCACCTATTCCTAACCCTAGTTACTTAATGTGGTTGTCAAATGATGCCTACGTCCAAATGTTACTCATGTCCACAATTTCCGAGGCTGCTTTTCAACATGTACAAGGTACAACTTCTTGTATCTCTAGCTTTCTCTCGAACGAGCATACGCCCGACATACATCCTCCATAGAATATACTTTCAAGATACAACTTCTTAAAATCGAGATGAAAGGTGATGAGACTTCTACCGCCTACCTTACAAGAGCGCAGGAGTACTCTGCTGCATTAGCAAACATCGCTAAACCAATAAATGAACAATATCTGGTGATGCTCCTGATTTTAGGGTTGCAAGAAGAATACTCAGGCCTCAAGTCCACCTTACTTGGCAGGGAGAACCCTATCACCTTTTCAAATCTATATGGACTTCTGGCTGATCATGATTAATTACTACGAAAGAATACTACATCTCCTCCTCTGTTCAGGCCTTTACAGCTAGCACATCGAACCGTCTGTCTTCGATTTTTCAAAACATGTTGTAGTCTCTTCAACAATTGATGGCTCAATTAGGCTTCAACTTTCAGCCAAACACACCACAGACTCTCTATTCCAACCGAACAAGTAACAAAAATTCAAACGACAGTCAGTTTAGCTGGGTCTCAAATCAGAACATGGTGTATGGGACCTGCAATAAGTGTGGCATTGGACATGTTTCCTCTCAATGCCCTAACCAGACCCTTCCACTATAAGGATGAAGCAACCATCTTCCAATTATGCAGACTACAGTCTCAAGCTTCCACATCATGGTTCCCAGACACAGGTTCCAACAGTCATGTTGCACCATATCTCAACGGATTCAATACTACTGAGCCATACTACAAAGAAGACAACCTTCATGTTGGCAACCGTAAGGGCTTACCCATTATTCAAATTGGCTCAAAATGTGTTTATTCTCCTCACAAAACCTTTTTTCAAAACAAAATTCTTCATGTTCCTGATATCAAAAAACACATTCTTTCTGTTCAACAATTTTGTCTTGATAACAATGTCTTTTTTGAATTCCACTCTTCCTTTTTTTGCTATGAAGGACGAGGACACACAAACTACCCTCCTTACGGGACCAAGTGATGGTGGTCTCTATACCCTTCGTCTTCCTACTTTTCAGTTGTTGTCTAGAGTTGTTTTTCCTCTATTCGGGCTTCCTCCAGCATTTGGCATCAAAGATTAGGAAATCCTCATCCACAACTTCTTAAGTTTATGCTATCTAAGTTTAATTTACCTGTTTCGAATAATAGTTCAAGTTCTCCATGTATTTCCTATTTTATTGGAAAATCTTTAAAACTTCATTTGCTTCCTTCAAATAATAAAATTTCTCATATTTTGGATTTACTTTTTTGTGATGTGTGGGGTCCTGCTCCTATTAACTCTTCTGATGGTCATAATTATTTCTTACTCTGTGGTGATCACTATACTCGTTTCACATGGCTTTTTTCATTAAAACGAAAATCTGATGTTTATGCCACCTTTAAAGAATTTTTGATAACTATTGAATGCCAATTCAACACTAAGCTAAAACATGTTCAAACTGACTGCAGAGGCGATTTTCACAATCTATCCACTTTCTTCTCCTCTCTTGGCATCATTCACGGTCTCTCTTGTCCTCACACAAATGAAAAAAAAACGGAACAGTTGAG